AGAGACTGACAGCATGCACAATAGCCCACAGATTCCAGCCAGACAAAATCCTGGCACATGAGAAAGGGCAGTGGACACAAAGTCCCTCCCCCAACCAAGAAGCTCTTTGCAACTGATACCTGCTGGGAAAGGGAAAACAGTTTCCTTCAGTGGAGTGTCACTGGGTATATCAACTACATTCTCAGGGAAGCCCCATGCCCAGGTGTAGTTGACCAACACAAAATAAACTCCATATTTTATTTTGTTTTGTTGGTGTATGTCTGTGTGTGTGTGTGTGTGTGTCTGTGTGTGTGTGTGTCTGTGTGTGTGTGTGTGTGTGTACATGAGTATGCTTGGGCTTTTGGATTTGTTTTGGTCTTTTTTATGTTACAGATTTTCTTTGTTTTGAAATTTTTTGTATTTTTTTTTGTGTGTATGAGGGTGGGGACATGAAGTCATGTGGTTGGGTGGGTAGGGAGATGGGTGGGATCTGGGAGGAATTGGAGAGGGCAAATAATATGATTAAAATATACTGTATAACAATCAGAAGAGATAAGAAAAAAACCTGAAATAGATATGAAAATAAAAATGGTATGTGGTAATTAAATACAATGAATAAGGGGCTGGAGAGACAGCTCAGTGGTAAGGATACTAGCTGCTCTTACAGAGGAACCAGATTCCATTTCCAGTACCCACATGATAGTTCACGACCATTGGTAAGCCCAGTCCCAGGAGATTGGATGTTCTCTTCTGTCCTCCACTGGTACTGCATGCACGGTGTACAGACATACATGTAAGTAAAATACCCATATAGACAAAATACTAGTAAAGGTTAACAATTTTAAAATGAATAAAATCAAAGGTCTGTTCCTAAGTAGCACGTGGAAGGTACTAGGGATGGAAGGCTGAGATACTGGAGTGTTATTGACTTGGAATTTTGGAGGGCCATTTAAAAATGAGATCATAGTTAAAGCAGATAAAATTCTGGGGTGACTTAAGATGTAAGAAATGGAGGTCATGGGGGATCCAAGATGGCAGTGACGAGCGTGCAACATATCTGAGGGGCAAAGATCTGAAACTCCGAAATTGGTGAGTGAAGGGGCTGCTGAACCCAGAACGACGACATTAAGGCTTCCAGGGAGAAAGGGGACTAACCGTGAACTGAGACCATTTAGATTCGGGTCACCTGCGGACTCCTCTATGGACTTCTCCTGGGGGCTCAATCCCCAGGGACTTCCCCATATCCACCTCCCTACTCCCTCTTTGGCAGAGGCTGCAGAGACAGTCCACAGCATCTGCCACAGAGCATAGTGCCCAGCCTGCGGTGCCGGCTGCTCCTAGCAAAGAAACCCCTGCTCAGGATCTGGGACAGAGAATACTCAATTCCCCCCCACCCCCACCATACACTCTCCTGGGACCGGCTGCCATAATCCTTCCCTGGCTGAGGTGAAGGTGACCTGCAGAGTCATCCACAGAGCACAGTGCCAGTAGCTCCTAGCACAGAGCACAGTGCTAGAGGACACCAAGATCTGCTACTACAGCACCACTGAGCTGACTGTTAGCCTACACCTGCATTTGCTCCTGCAGGATCAAATCAGAAACCCTGTGCTTCCCAATTGGTCCTGCTAGATAGTGAGTGCACCTTCAAGTGAGTGCTTGCAGAGGCCCAGATCCAGGGCCCCTCTACACAAGCAGCCAGATGAGAGATCCCTACCACCCACACCGCTAGTGGGGGCAACAAAGGGATTCTTGAAAGAGCATTCTCAACACTGAAGCCCCTGCTCTGCGGGTCTACCCAGTGAATTCCAGGCAAACAATTCCTGGGGCCCAGACAGATCTGCATACCAGTGGCTCATAGGCGACTGAAGTAGTCAGGGAATCTGCGCCTGCGCGTTGTGCCCACTAACAGCACCTGCAAATAGTGTCAGCGTCACATTTCTCACTTAGGGACAGCTGAAATATCAAGACAGACTCTCAGACCTCTTTTATCTTCCTGAAAAACATTCCAGAAGCCAGAAAAAGATGGACCCAGTCTGAAGTACAGACTCCAGGAACAAACAGTGAGGCTACATGTTTTATTTGTTGTAAAAATTTACTATTGATATATCTTTTAGTAAAGCTGTGGTTAATGCTACACACAGCTGTATATCCAATTCACCACACAGAGACTGGGATTTATTAACCTAGATCACAATGCTGGGCAATAGTTGTTCCATCCTAAACCTCCAAGCCCATGTAGTTTTTACCATTCAGATTTCTCATATTATACTTGCTTTTAGTGACATATGAGGTCCAGTCCATCTCTCCACATCGTTCCAAGACCTCTCCCCAGCCTCTTTTCCCAACTTTCTCCTCTCTGTTCCTCCTCTGCCTCCCACTTCTTTCTGTCCTCTGGCTCCTCCCTCTCCCATCTATTCTTTCCTCTCCATTGCTCAACATTGTGGCTGGTTGTTTTATTTTGGCATGTTTACACAAAGTTGAGACAGGTGGTGCTTAGAATAAGTATCACAATGCAATGTCTGGATTGGAAGACCTGTTTAAAAAAACTTCAAGTCTCTGAGGAAAGAAATAGAAGAGGATATCAGAAGATGGAAAGATCTCCCATGCTCATTAATCGGTAAGATTAACATAGTGGAAATGGCCATCCTGCCAAAAGAAATCTACAGATTGAATGCAATTCCCATCAAAATACCAACACAATTCTTTACAGAACTTGAAATAAAAATTCTCAACTTCATATAGAAAAACAAAAAACCTAGAATTGCCAAAACAATTCTGTACAACAACCAATCATCTGGAGGTATCTCCATCCTTGATCTCCAGCTGTACTACTGAGAAATAGTAAACAAACAAACAAACAAAAAAACAACTGCATGGTATTGGTATAGAAACAGAATGGTGGATCAATAGAACCAACTAGAATACCCAGAAATAAACCCACGCACCTATGGATACTTGATTTTTGACAAAGAAGCCCAAACCATACAATGGAAAAAAAAAAAGCATCTTCAACAAATGGTGCTGGGCTAACTGGATGTCTAAATGCAGAAATATGCAAATAGATCCATATTTATCACCCTGAATAAAACTAAAGTCCAAGTGGATGAACGACCTCAACATAAAACCAGACACACTAAGTTCTTTAGAAGAAAAAGTGGGAAAGAGCCTAGAACTCATTGGTACAGGAGACAACTTTCTGAACAGAACACCAACAGCATAGGCTCTAACATCAACAATCAATAAATGGGACCTCATGAAAAGCTTCTGTAAAGCAAAGGACACTGTCAACTGAACAAAACAACTGCCTACAGACTGGGAAAGGATCTTCACCAATCCTATATCTGACAGAGGGCTAATATCCAGAGTACATAAAAAACTAAAGAAGTTAAAAAGGAACAAATCCAGTAATCCAATTAAAAAATGGGGTACAAAGCTAAACAGAGAATTCTCTGTAGAGGAATATAGAATGACAAAGAAACACTTAAAGAAATGTTCAATGTCCTTAGTTATCAGGGAGATGGAAATCAAAACGACCCTGAAATTTCACCTTATACCCATCAGAATGGCTAAGATCAAAAACTCAAGTGGCAATACATATTGGAGAGGATTTGGAGAAAGGGGAACCCTCTTCCATTGCTGGTGGGAATGTAAACTTGTACAACCATTTTGGAAATCAATTTGGCCCTTTCTCAGACAATTAGGAGTAGCGCTTCCTCAAGATCCAGCTAATACCACTCCTAGGCATATATCCAAAATATGCTCAAGTACACAATAAGAACATTTGTTCAACCATGTTCATAGCAGCTTTATTTATAATAGCCAGAACCAGGAAACAACCCAGGTGTTCCTCAGCGGGGAAATGGATACAGAAATTGTGGTACATTTACACAATGGAATACTATTCAGCAATTAAAAACAAGGAAATCATGAAATTTGCAGGCAAGTGGTGGGATCTAGAAAAGATCATCCTGAGTGAGGTGTCCTAGAAACAGAAAGACACGCACAGAACATGCTCACTTATAAGTGGATACTAGACATATAATAAGGGATAACCCTACAATAATCTAAACACATAAAGAAGGCAAGCTAGAAGTAGGACCCTGGGTAAGACAATTAATCCTCACTCAGAAGGGTGAACAGGATGGACATTGGAAGAAAGAGAAAGCAGGAAACAGGACAGGAGCCTACCACAGAGGGCTTCTGAAAGACTCTACCCAGCATTGTATAAAAGCAGATAATGAGACTCATAAACAAACTTTGGGCAGAGTGCAGGGAATCTTAGGAAAGAAGAGGGAGATAGTAAGACTTGTAGAGGACAGTAACTCCACAAGGAGAGTTACAGAACCAAAATATCTGGGCACAGGGGTCTTTTCTGAGACTGATATACCAATCAAGGACCATTCATGGATATAACCTAGAACCCCTGCTCGAATGTAGCCCATGGCACCTCAATATCCCAGTGGGTTCCCTAATAAGGGGAACAGAGACTCTCTATGACATGAACTCAGCGCTCTTTGAGCATCTCCCCTGGATGGGGGAGAAAAAGCCTTGACATGCCACAGAGGAGGACAATGCATCCAGTTCAGATGAGACTGCATAAGCTAGGGTCAGATGGAAAGGGATGAGGACCTTCCCTATCTGTGGACTTGGAGAGGGGCATAGGAAGAGATTAGGGAAGGAGGGTGGGGATTGGGAGCAGAGAAGCAAGGGGGCTACAGCTGGGATACAACGTGAATAAACTGTAATTACTATAAAAATGAAAATGAAAAAAATTGAGGTCACTAAAACAGTAGCTTTGATATATGCTTTTCCAGGATCACTCAAGAAAAGCAAAATAGAACATTCAGCTACACAAACATATCATGCCTGCACACTTAGACTTCTCTTTTACATGCTGCACAATTACCACCCTATTCTTTTAGCAGAATCCCAGATGACAATGAGAAAATTTGGAATAGTATCGCCAAGTTAATATAGTCTATTTATTGAATGAAGTTTTTCAAAATCATCAAATGCAGTTGTCACAGATAGGAGGGATTTTTCTTCTTACAAAGAACTCTTCCCAGGGCCCCCTTTATCTCCCTGTTCCTCAGGCTGTAGATGAAGGGGTTCAGCATGGGAGTCACCACTGTGTACATCATAGCCATGACAGTCTCCTTCACAGTGGAATTACTGGCAGATGGACATAAGTAGAGACCAATAATTGTCCCATAGAACAGTGACACAACAGACAGGTGGGAACCACAGGTGGAGAAGACCTTGTGAATACTTCGAGCAGAGGGGACCTTAAGAATGGAGGAGACAATTCGTGCATAGGACACAACAATGAGTAGGAATGGAACAACAATAACAAGCCCTCCCATAATAAATATCACCAGCTCGTTAACATGTGTGTCAGAGCACGACAGCTTCAGCAAAGGAGATATGTCACAGAAGAAGTGGGGAATCACATTGTCCTTACAGAAAGAGAGTCTGGCCATGAGCAGGGTGTGCAGCATGGCATGGAATGTGGTCAGAACCCAGGACAGCACCACCAGACTCCCACAGAGCTTGGGGCTCATGATGCTGCTGTAATGAAGGGGGAAGCAGATGGCCACATAGCGGTCATAGGCCATGACCACAAGAAGGAAACTCTCAAGGTCTGCAAAATACAGGTAGAAGTACAGTTGAGCCAGGCAGCCTGCATAGGAGATAGATGGAACTTGGCTCTGCATGTTCTGCAGCAACTTGGGCATTGTGACAGAGGAAAAGCAGAGGTCAGAGAAGGACAAGTTGCTGAGAAACAAGTACATGGGTGTGTGGAGATGAGAGTCCAGTTGAATGAGGATAAGGATAATGAGGTTTCCCAGGACAGTGGTGAGGTACATGGCCAGAAACAGGGCATAGAAAAGGTGCTGGTACTCTGGGGGGATGGGCAGGCGCAGGAGGAGGAACTGGGAGATGACAGTTTGATTCCCTTCTGTCATATTCTTTCTCCTTTACCTTTAAGAGAAAAATGACACAGATCCTTAGAAATACAATTGAAATGTACAGATTTCTATGTTTTTCGTCTAGGTTCTTTATTCCTTTTTAAACCAGTTGATCTCATAACCATAATTATAAACTGATAATCTCTGTAATCACCGATTACCTCTTTTTTTTAACCATCTTATATGTTTCAGCATGCTATCATTTCTTTAATGTATTTAGCTACTTGCTTCTGTGACATCAATATGTTAGTTTTTGTCTTACCTGTCTGAATGGCCGTCCTCGGCACTTGTAATTGGCTCCTTTCTCTTAGCATCTACTACACATTGATGGTTCTCATGATTCTGAAACTTTCTTAATACCTCCATATATAGATTTGTTTATATTAGTGCCTTAAATTGCTCTCTGAAACTCAGCTGTGAAAGTCTTTGTAACCTTCAGAACTCTGTCTCGTTGCTTAGTAGTCATCATCTCTTGGATATGTCATAGGCATGTCAAGTGCAGCAGATCCAAGTGATACCATGATTCCACTTTGCTCTTTCCCAGCTTGCCCTTCTCAGTCTTCTCTCAGTTCTTTAAGGTGACATTTAGGAAATGATTAATTCAATGTCTGCAAGCCCCAAATCAAATACAAAATCTGTCAATTTTATTTCTCTTTCTAGAACTATCAATCTAGCAAACCCTGTAGCTGCTCTCCACCATTCTACATCATTCAGTCAATGTCTCAACACCACATTCCCAGACTAGGTTGGCAACTAAATGATGCCGACAATGTAAACACAAGATTACTAATATATAAACCATTAGCTTTTTGAGTAAATTAATGTGATGAGCTTTAGGAAATCAGTTAAAGGATTTAACATTATTAACACTCATTTTATTCAAGCCAACTCCAATAATATCCAAAGCTCTTATCGTGTTTTCAAATGATGCTGTATTACCCATGAAGTGTTGCACCTGTGTGCTGCTCTTTTCCAATGCTATCCTTAAAAGTCATAATTTCTTGCTTCCAGCATTTTAAACTTGCTCTTTCACTTGCCTATAATTTCCTCTTCTCTTAAGCCCCTTCACCGATGTTAGCCTCATATATCTCTCATAGATATTACATGCCACTTGCTAATCAAACATTTTCATTCTGGATTGAGATCTGCTGTCATGCTCTCGCGGCATCCAATGCTCCTCTCGCCTGGCTCAGTGCTCGGATCATGATTTCTGTAGAGTTCCCACCAGGCTGTGCACTACATGAGGGACAGGCCATGGCATCCTTCATCTAGCAGCAGGGCCAGCACATGGCCTAGTGCTTGTGTGAGAGCAGTAGTCAGAAATGTTTGCTAGTTGTGCCTCAGTCTGAGACAGAGCCTTTAAACATTAAAGGCCACAGACCACCACTAAATTAGAACCAATATCCATACGAAATTTTCCCCAAGGGTTGGGTGTGGTGGTACAGTGCTTTTAATGCCAGTACTCTGGAGACAGAGGCAAGCAGATCTTTGTGAGTCTGAGGCCAGTCTCATCTACATAGAGTTCCAGGACAGCCATGATAACATCATGACTCTGTCTCAAAACATACTTTCCCAAATTCATAATCATTAGACTTGATCATTTAGCTAATGATCTAAATTTGACAGTAGTCAATGGGACAAATGCTATTGTATTTATTTAAAAAAATAGGAATATGTCTGATGCATTAGACCAGCAGACTAAAAGTAAAGGAAATACCCTCTGTAATGTGATGAACCTCATGCAGTCAGTGAAGGTAAGAGGAAAACGTGCAGTTTCCTCAGTAAAAATCCCGTCTCCAGACCTCCTTGTGCTCAGGTGTGCAACCTCTACTCAGCCTGGAGACTCCTCTGCCGACTGGCTTTACAGACATTGATCAGTTCTCAGTATCATGTGGGCTCAAAAAAACCTACCCAGACCAAGACACACACACACACACACACACACACACACACACACACACACACACACACACTTCTGTTTTCTTCTCAACAATGCCAACATGTTGCAGTATGTTTTGAAGTTGACAAAGAAAGCAGGTCTGCCCTCAGTGATCCAGTAAGCTTTGTACCTTCTTCAGTAATTCTCAATCAAGACACCTTATAGGTATCCCCTAGAAGATAGTGTATTTTACATTAAATAGAAACTACCTGGACTTCTGTGAAAACATGAATTCTGGTTCTGTAGCTCCGAGCCTACATTATAAATGGAACACCAGGCAAGGACACGTGGGTGCTGGAGTAGGCAGTACTTACATTATCACTTAAAAATATTGATTGTTGAGTTCCATCAGATGAAGTTAATGTCTTTGTGGTTAAAGTTTATTAATGTACCATAACAAAGTCAAAGGAAGTCATTATTGTCACAGTGCAGCAGGTGTAATCTTAGGAAAATAATTCCTCAGCAATTAAAAAAGGAACTATGCCAAGAATAAAATAATTCAGATGGTAACTATTAATTCAAATATCTTCAGGATGTGGCAAAGTCTCTGAAGGGAGAGATGACAAAGAAGGAAATTATTATATCTGCAAAGCCTTCCTACAGAGCATCATACACTGCAGGACGCTGAAACCCTTGGGCTGGAAGGACAGTGCAACCCATCTGCCCAGCTGCCAACTCATCCAGAATGTTTGAGGCTGACACACAGTCCCTGGTATAATATGCTTCTCGTTATTCACTGTGGCCATAGGAAAAATAGTCTCTGGACAACAGCATCTGCATCGCCCTTTTCCTGTCTCTCCTTACAGTCATCTCTGGGCTTAAGAGGCTCTGTATCCCAGAGGAGGCCAGATCCTGAACAACTCATTAGTGTAATTATCCAGGACCTTTCTAGGACCAGATCTTAGTTGTGACTGAATACAGTCATTGATCATGTGTTACTACACTTAGAGGGAACGTGAAGAAGAGAAGTCATAGGTAGATGCTTATTAATAACTTGTTCAGGGGATGAGCTGGATTCCCATGTTACTTGACCTTGTATTTTGAGGAATAATTAGGAATAATTAGGAATAATATAGGAATAATTAAACTTCATAATTTAAAAGAATATATGAATATGAAAATGTACAGAAGCCATTATTTGCTCTTGGAGAGACCATCACCATGAAAAACACATTTTTTTTGAAAATTTTTTTTAAAATTTTATTTTTCTCATTAGTTACAGTTTGTTAATTCTGTATCCCAGCTGTATCCCTCATTCCCTCCCCAATCCCACCCTCCCTCCCTCATCTCCACCCTGCCCCTTTCCAAGTCCACTGATATGGGAGGACCTCCTCCCCTTTCATATGACTCCGTTTTGTCAGGTATTTTCAGGACTGGCTGCAAAGTCCTCCTCTGTGGCCTAACAGTACTGCTCCTCCCTTGGGAGGTGGGGAGGTTAAAGAGCCAGTCATTGAGTTTCTGTTAGAAATAGTCCTTGTTCCCCTTACTATGGAAAACCAATTGATTACTGAGCTATCATGGGTCACATTCGAGCAGAGGTTCTAGGTTCTATCCTCTCATGGTCTTTGGTTGAGTGTCCATCTCAGAAAAGACCCTGTGCCCAGATATGTTTGGTCCTTGTGGAGCTCCTATCCTTTTCACATCAAACTCCCCTTCTTTCATATGATTCCCTGCACTCTGCTGAGGGTTTGGTTATGAGTCTTAGTATCTACTTTGGAACACTGCTAGGTAGAGTCTTTCAGATGCTTTCTGCGGTAGACTCCTGTCATACATTCAATGCATATCCCATTTGTCTTTCTAAATGAGGATTGATCATCATACCCCGTGTCCGCTTTCTTGATTATCTTCTTTAGGTGTATAGATTTCATTATGTTTATCATATCTTTTAGGTCTATATAAGCGAGTATATTCCATGTTTGTCTTTCTCCTTCTGGGATACTTCACTCAGAAAGATCTTTTCTAGATCCCACCATTTGCCTGCAAATTTCATGATTTCCTCTTTTTTGATTGCTGAGTAGTATTCCATTGTGTAAAAATACCACAATTTCTGTACCCATTCCTCCATTGATGGACATCTGGGTTGTTTCCAGGATCTGGCTATTACAAATAAAGCTGCTACAAACATGGTTGAGCAAATGTCCTTATTGTGTACTTGAGCAAATTTTGGGTATATGCCTAGCAGTGGTATAGCTGGGTCTTGAGAAGCACTATTCCTAGTTATCTGAGAAAGTGCCAGATTGACTTCCAAAGTGGTTGTACCAGTTTACATTCCCACCAGCAATGGAGGAGGGTTCCCCTTTCTCCACAACCTCTCCAGCATGTGTTGTCACTTGAGTTTTTCATCTTGGCCATTCTGATGGGTGTAAGGTGAAATCTCAGGGTTGTTTTGATTTGCATTTCCCTGATGGCTAATGACGTTGAGCATTTCTTTAAGTGTTTCTCTGCCATTCTATATTCCTCTACAGAGAATTCTCTGTTTAGCTCTGTTCCCCATTTTTTAATTGGATTACTTGGTTTGTTGCTTTTCTGCTTCTTTAGTTCTTTATATATACTGGATATTAGCCCTCTGTCAGATAAAGGGTTGGTGAAGATTCTTTCCCAATCTCTAGGCAGTCGTTTTGTTTTGATGACGGTGTCCTTTGCTTTACAGAAGCTTTTCAGTTTCATGAGGTCCCATTTATTGATTGTTGCTCTTAAAGCTTGTGCTGTTGGAGTTCTGTTCAGGAAGTTGTCTCCTGTGCCAATGAGCTCTAGGCTGTTCCCCACTTTTTCTTCTAACAGATTTAGCGTATCTGGTTTTATGTTGAGGTATTTGATCCACTTAGACTTTAGTTTTGTGCAGGGTGATAAATATGGATCTATTTTCATTTTTCTGCATGTAGACATCCAATTAGACCAGCACCATCTTTTTTCCATTGAATGGTTTAGGTTGCTTTGTCAAAAATCGAGTATTCATAGGTACATGGGTCTTCTATTCGGTTCCATTGATCCTCCTTATATTTCTGTGCCAATACCATGCAGTTTTTATTACTATTGCTCTGTAGTACAGCTTGAGATTGGGGATGGAGATACCTCCAGATGATCTGTTGTTGTACAGGGTTGTTTCGGAGATTCTGGGTTTTTGTTTCTCCATATGAAGCTGAGAATCTTTTTTTTCAAGGTCTGAAAAGAATTGAGCTGGTATTTTGATGGGAATTGCGTTGAATCTGTAGATTGCTCTTGGTAGGATGGCCATTTTCACAATGTTAATCTTACCAATCCATGAGCACGGGAAATCTTTCCATCTTCTGAGATCTTCTTCAATTTCTTTCTTCAGAGACTTGAAGTTTTTCTTAAACAGGTCTTTCACTTGTTTGGTTAATGTCACCCCAAGGTACTTTATGTTATTAGTGGCTATTGTGAAGGGTGTTGTTTCCCTAATTTCTTTCTCAGTTCTTTTGTCTTTTGTGTACAAGAGGGCTTCTGATTTTTTTGAGTTGATTTTGTATCCTGCCACTTTGCTGAAGGTGTTTATCAGCTGAAGGAATTCTCTGGTTGAATTTTTGGGGTCACTCATGTATACTATCATATCATCTGCGAATAGTGACACTTTGACCTCTTCCTTTCCAATTTGTATCCCCTTGATCTCCTTTAGTTGTCTTATTGCTCTGGCTAGGACTTCAAGTACTATGGAAAAACACATATTTTAAAATATGTTTTTTTTACCACTTTCCCAAGTGGTATTCTCTGAGTAAAACATAAGTCTGTATAAACAGCCCTCAAGATATATTACCATGATGCCAAAAAGAATTAGAATTTATGACTCAACTTATTATACCTCTCAACAGATGCAAAGGATAGGAATAAAAACAATGTTTGATGAATTCCTTAAGATTATCTTTCTTCATGCCAAGAAAGAAGCAGCCTAGATTCCCATGTCAAATCAGGGTTTCCTGAACTCAATTGCGCTCATGATCCCTATGTGCCTGGGTGCTTGACAAGAACTTCCAGGATTTACTGTTCACCATGCTGGATTCTGGCCTGGCTTTGGTGCAAATATTTCTGTGTTCCAGTTCATTGGTTTTGGAGTGGAAAGTTTACTCTGCATTATTTTTTGTTGAAAGGATATAACAACTTGTCCATTATCTCCTTTTTTTCTTAAATTTTTATTCTTTTATATTAATTACAGTTTATTTAGTTTGTTTCCCAGCCATAGCCCCCTCCCTCATTCCCTCCCAACCCCACCCTCCCTCCCTCATCTCCCCCCTTCCCCTCTCTAAGTCCATTGATATAGGAGGTCCTCCTCCCCTTCCATCTGATCCTAGCTTATCAGATCTCTTAAGGACTGGCTACAGTGTCCTCCTCTGTGGTCTAGCAAGGCTGCTCCTCCCTCATGGGGATGGGAGATCAAAGAGACAGCCATTGAGTTCATGTCAGAGACAGTCCCTGTTCCCCTAACTAGGGAACCCACTTGGATACTGAGCTGCCATGGGCTACATCTGGGCAGGGGTTCTAGGTTATATCCATTCATGGTCCTTGGTTGGAGAAACATAAAAGACCCCTGTGCCCAGATATATTTGGTCCTTGTGGAGCTCCTGTCCTCTCCAGGTCATACTAACTCCGCCTTCTTTCATATGATTCCCTGCACTCTGCCAAAGTTTTGGTTGTGAGTCTCAGCATCTGCTTTGATACACTACTAGGTAGAGTCGTTCAGAGGCCCTCTGCGGTAGGTTCCTGTCCTGTTACTTGTTTTCTTCTACTTCTAATGTCCAGTATTCCTAATTGTCTGAGAAAGCGCCAGATTGATTTCCAAAGTGATTTTACAAGTTTACATTTCCACCAGCAATGGAAGAGGGTTCCCCTTTCTCCACAACCTATCTAGCATGGGTTGTCATTTGAGTTTTTTATTTTAGCCATTCTGATGGGTGTAAGGTGAAATCTCAGGGTTGTTTTGATTTACATCTCTCTGATTGCTAAGGATGTTAAGCATCTCTTTAAGTGTTTCTTCGCCATTTGATATTCCTCTACAGAGAATTCTCTGTTTAGCTCTGTACCCCATTTTTTAATTGCATTGCTTGATTTATTGCCTTTTAACTTCTTTATTTCTTTATATATTCTGGATATCAGCCCTCTGTCATATATAGGGTTGGTGAAGATCCTTTCCCAGTCTGTAGGCTGTGGTTTTGTTCTGATGACAGTGTCTTTTGCTTTACAGAAGCTTTTCAGTTTCACGAGGTCTCATTTATTGATTGTTACTCTTAGAGCCTGTGCTGTTGGTGTTCTGTTCAGGAAGTTGTCTCCTGTATCAATCAGTTCTAAGTTCTTCCCCACTTATTTTTCTAACTGGTTTAGTGTATTTGGTTTTATGTTGAGGTCTTTGATCCACTTGGATTATAGCTTTTATGTGTTCTTGTATTCGGTTTGCAAGTATTTTATTGAGTATTTTTGCATCAGTGTTCATAAGAGAGATAGGTCTGAAGTTCTTTATTTTTTTGTTGGGTCTTTGTGTGGTTTAGGTATGTGGTTACAGAATGAGTTTGGTAATGTTCCTTCTGTTTCTATTTTGTGGAATACTTTGAAAAGAATTGGAGTTGGCCCTTCTTTGAAGGTCTGGTAGAATTCTGCACTGAAACCATCTGGCCCAGGGCTTTTTTTTGGAAGAGAGACTGTTGATGACTCCTTCAATTTCCTTGGGGTATAGAGGAATATTCAATCTTTCTACCTGATCTTGACTTAATTTTGGCAGATGGAATCTATCAAAAAAATAGTCCATTTCCTTTAGATTTTCAAATTTTGTGGCCTATAGGTTTTTGTAGTATGACTTAATGATTGTTTGGATTTCCTCAATGTCTGTAGTTATATCCTCCTTTTCATTTCTGATTTTGCTGATTTGGATATTTCTCTCTGCCTTTTAGTTAGTTTGGCTAAGGGTTTGTCTATCTTGTTGATTTTCTAAAGAACCAGCTCTTGGTTTCATTGATTCTTTGAATTGTTTTATTTGTTTCTACTTTATTGATTTCAGCCCTGAGTTTGATTACTTCTAGCCGTCTGCTCCCCTTGGGTGTACCTGCTTCTTTTTTTTTCCTAGGGCTTTCAGTTGGGCCATTAAGTTGCTTGTATGAGATGTTACAAATTTCTTCTTGAAGGCTCTCAGTGCTATGAATTTTCCTCTGAGCACTGCTTTCATTGTGTCCCATAAATTTGGGTATGTTGTACCTTCATTTTCATTGAATTCTAGGAAGTCTTTAATTAATTAATTAATTAATTAATTTCTTAACCCAGCTGTCATTGAGTAGCAGTTGTTCAGTTTCCATGTGCAGTAGGCTTTTTGCTATTTCTGTTGTTGTTGAGGTCCAGCTCAGGCATCAACAACATGTCCATGGTGGTCAGACAGAGTACAAGGGATTATTTCAATCTTCTTGTATCTGTTGAGCCTTGCTTTGTGGCCAACTATATGGTTTATTTTGGAGAAGGTTCCATGAGGTGCTGAAAAGAAGGTATACTCTTTTGAGTTTGGGTGAAAAGTTCTGTAGACATTTACTCGGTCCATTTGAATTACGGCTTTTAAGTGCCTTTATTTTCCTATTTGGCTTCTGTTTAGATGATCTGTCTCTTGGTGAGAGTGGGGTGTTGAAGTCTCCCACTATTAAGGTGTTGGGATCAATATGTGATTTAAGCTTTAATAATGTTTCACTTACAAATGTAGGGACTCTTGTGTTTGAGGCATAAATGTTCAGAATTGTGAAGTCCTCTTGGTGGATTTTTCCTTTGATGAGAATGTAGTGCCCCTCCTCATATTTTTTTGATTAATTTTGGTTGAAAGTCTATTTTATTAGATATTAGGATAGCTACCCCAGCTTGTTTTCTGGGTCAATTTGCTTGAAAAATATTTTTCCATCCCTCTACTCTGAGGTAGGATTTATCTTTGTTGCATAGGCGTGTTTCTTGGATGCAGCAGAATGTTGGATCCTGTTTCTGCACCCATTCTGTTAGTCTGTGTCTTTTTATTAGAGAGTTGAGTCAATTGATGTTGATAGATAATACTGACCATTGAACGTTAGTTCTTATTATTGTGGAGTTGGTGGTCTTACTGTGATTCATTGCTTGTTTTCTTTTAATTTTTTGTTGGGAAATTATCTGTATCCTATGTTTTCTTGGGTATAGTTGTTTTCTTTGGATTTGAGTTTTCCTTCTAGTATCTTCTGTGAGGCTCGTTTGCTGTGTAGCTATTGCTTAAATTTAGTTTTGTCTTGGAATATTTTGTTTTCTCCATCTATGTTGATTGAAAGCTTTGCAGGGTAGAGTAATCTGGGTTGGCATCTGTGGTCCTTTAAAGTCTGCATGACATCTGCCCAGGTCCTTCTGGCTTTCATAGTTTCTGATGAGAAGTCTGGTGTGATTCTAATAGTCTACCTTTATATGTTACTTGGCCTTTTTCCCTTGTTGCTTTTAATATCTTTTCTTTATTCTGTATATTTAGTGTTTTGACTATGATGTGATATGAGGAGTTTCTTTTCTGGTCTAGTCTATTTGGTATTCTGTAGGCCTCTTGTATATTTATGGACATATCTTTCTTTAGGTTGGGAAAATTTTCTTCTATTATTATCTTGAAAATATTTCCTGGACCTTGGAGCCTGGTATCTTCTTTTTCATCAATTCCTATTATTCTTAGATTTTGTCTATTCATGATGTCCTTGATTTTTTGGATGTTTTGTGTTTGGGAACTTTCTGATTTTACTTTTTCTTTGAGAGAAGTATCAATTTCTGCAAGTGTATCTTCAGCACCAGAGAATCTCTTTTCCATCTGTTGTGTTCTATTGGTGATGCTTACCTTTGTGGTTTCCTGATCTTTTCTCGAGGTTCTCCAGGTCCAGGGTTTTCTCAGTTTGTGTTTTCTTTATTGATTCTAATTCTGTTTTTATGCCTTGCACCATTTCCTTCATCTGTTTGAGTGTGAATTCCTGTTTCTCTATGATGGTCTCTATTTTCTTGTTCATTTCCTCTCTATATGCCGCTAATTGTGCCTCTACTTGGGCCTCCATTTGTTTGGCTAAATTTGCCTGTGTTTCTTTGGGCGCTTTGTTCATTTCCTCTTTCTTTGCCTCCACTTGGGTAGCCAATTCTTTGATAGGTTTGTTCGTTTCCTCCTTAACTGTCTGTATTTGTATGACTATTTCTCTGAGAGATTTGTTTGTTTCCTCTTTATATGCCTTTAACAACTGGATACACATAGCTTTAAAGTCATTTTCCTGTGTTTCTGATGAATTGGAGTATCCATTAATTTTGGGGGTTGCTGGTGAAGTCATGATGTCCTGATTTTTGTTGGATGTGTTCTTTCACCAACCCCTGGCCATTTGCTTATCTGTAACCTTCACTGTTTGTTCCTGGATTCTGCAGATCAGACTGGCATCATCTTTCTCTGGAGAATTCTTCAGGAAGATCAGAGAGGTCCAGTAGTTTCAGCATGTGCGTTGGTGTTTCAGCTGTACCTTGGGAGGAAAGTCTGCGGATGCAGAAGAACAAATGCAGGCAAGCGTGTGTGTGTGTGTGTGTGTGTGTGTGTGTGTGTGTGTGTAAGTGTGCCCTGAGGGACAGGGTGCTAGAGAATGTAGATGCCTTCAGTGTGAGGGAGGGGCCCCTTGCAGGCATTGAAGGGGTTGCAGGTGTGAAAGGTATCTCAAGCGCTGGTGATAATAGTGGGCGGAAATTCCCTGAGTACATCAGTGGCCTATAGACTACCGATATTTGTCTCTATATTGCCTGTTATCACTGTTCTGTATTCTTCTCATCTTAGTTCAGACACAATGCTGTATGTAAGTATAAGTGTTAGTGTTAGGGTTAGTGAGTTCTGTGCTCAGCATCACTGGTGCTGTGTGTCAGCTCCCCTGAGGATGAGGAAGGCCGTAAAATGGAAGTGCCGCTCTCTGTTCCCAGAGAAGTCTGTGCTCACAGCTTCAGAGACTAATTCACCATGGTGGGTAAGGTGTGACTAAGAAAATCAGTCCAAAAGGTGGTGGCCAGCAAGGAGAGTAAAGGGGAATACAGGAAGAAGTCAAAGCAGATATTGCTTCAAATGACGCATACCTGGTGAACTATTTCCTCCAGTAGGAAATTAGGCTCCACTTTCTACTTTTCCACATACCTCTGTGACATCATATCATGAGTCTATCTAGGTAACTATTCATTGATCATAGACTTTATGACCTAACAATCTGTAGAAATGTCCTCACAAACACGATCTAGTCAAGAAGTGGAAACAACCTGCACTGCTTTCCTGTTGAGTGAATCAGGAAAAGCAGCACACACACACAGAGGAGTATAACTCAGGCAACAAGCACAATGAGGTACTGTTCTTTCTAGCAACATGAATGGGAGCAGAGCAGTTTCCACTTTCTACAATTAATGAGAAAAGTCAGGCATGATAAGATGTGTGTCATGTGACTTAATTCTTAGATGGAATTTTAAAAAGTTTATCTTGTAGAAGTTGGGGGTTGAATGACCCAGACATCATAGACTGAGGCATGGGGGGGTCAAGCTGATCAACGTGCTCTAAGAAGCAGACACAGACAAAAATCCAGAACTGCTGTTCCATATTAACTACATTTTCGTACTGTTTATCTCAAAAGACAAGAAAGAGGGATTTTGTTAGTTTTCGTTATGAAATGAGAAATGTTTTACACCATAGTCTTGTTTAATTTGATTTGAAGCATCACACAATGATACAGACATTAAAACATTACATGGTAACCCACGAATAATGATAATGTGGGTAGCCCACAACCTAATGACATTGTCATTTCAAAATATTTTCAGAGGGAGAGATTCTTCATAAAGCCAATGTATATGTCAATTTATTGTAATCTGTGCCCTTCCTAGAGCCAGTGAACCTAATTTTCATTGCTATTGACTATTGGGTTCATTTTTAAGATTGCAGTGATTAATTTAAATATTAACTTTCTATTTGATTTCTTCTAATTATCTTCTACTAAGTCACTGAAATTTTGGAGCTTTGTGTATGCCATCAACAAAAACACAGAGAACAGAAGATATTTCAGACCAATATTAAGATCATCCTGAGTGAGGTACCCCAGAAACAGAAAGACATACATGGTATATACTCACTTATAAGTGAATATTAGGCATACAATATAGGATAAATATACTAACATCTGTATGCCTAAAGAAGCTAAGTAAGAAGGAGGACCCTGGGTAAGTTTTGTAGATAAGTGACCACCCTGGGTGAGAGGTGACATCATAAGTCAAGAAATGAGATAAATGACAAGGAAAACTATCCTACAGAAAACAGTTTAACACTGTGTAAGTGTTAAATGTTGAGCTGCCTATAGACCTGTAGGCAGAGACTTACACCGAGGGGATACACAGAATATTGTGGAGCCTGGAGGAAAATTAGCTTCCAATGAAATGTTCATTTCAGCAGAATATCTGAGGTTGTAAAAAAGTGTTTGTATGGCACACTCTGAGGGACAAAACAACAACAACAACAACAACAAAAATGAGACAAATTTGAAATCCTGGCTCCTATCATGTGACACCAAGTGATTTGAAAACAATGGCCATCCTTTTCTTTTAAAGCGGGAGAAAGGGGAACAATTTGATGCATCAGAGAGGTTTTTGTATTACTTAGGTTCATCCATAGGCACAGGTGATGGGAAGTGTTGAAATTCAGTCCTTAGCCAGTAAAACACTGATATAAAACAAATCATATGCACATATTAAGAGAGGAAAATATCAGTTTCGTATGATTTCTTTTGTGTGCCTGCTCCTTTAAAGGACTTGTAGTTGCTAGAATTTAAGAATTCTTAGCTGCTAGAACTGCTTGACTCTATGACTTTCAGTGTTGGTTGCCTCTTGGATTTGTGGGAACAGGCTAGGACATAAAAAGCCAGCTGAGGCTGAGAGAGGGGTGGCTAGCAGAGTGAGAAGAGAATGATGGGGAGAAACATTTGAAGGGGCTGGGCTGGACCCTGGGAGGGGGCTGGCAGGGAGTTAACTGATTACTTTTCTAAAAAGCTAGCTACTTCAAAAAGCAAAAGAGAGGCTTAATTAACTTTGTGTTTGTCTCTAGCCTTCTTCCTTGTTTTTGTGAAAAATAAGGATGCCAAGTAAAATAATAGAAAAATTATGTAAACATCAAAAGAAATAGATGATATGGGAATTAAAGAATAAGATAAGAACAAACAACAACAACAGCAACAACAAAAAGCCAGGGAGGGTAGGAAGGTCAGGTATTTGGGTATTGCTGATTTTGAGTTGAATTACAAGTACTACTCAAAAAGCAGAGAGATGGTAAAGCAGTAATTTGGGCATGTGGTAAAATTCTAGAATAGCTTCATATCAGAAGAAACAGGAATCAAGTATAAGTATAATTATAATTAAATTATAATTACACTATAATTTTCTGGGACTACATGGGTAAGACAAAGAGAATGGCAAATCAGGTCCCTAAGACCCACTCTCCATGTTAAACTACTTAGCTAAGGCACTTAGTGAAGTGGACAAGTAGTATGATCTATGAACATGGTAGGCTTCCATGCTGGGAAATTCTAATGTTTACATTAGTATGTTTATGAGATGAAACTGGGTTAAATTTCCAAGTTTTAATATCATAGGTTTAGTTGAATTTTCTTTTTGCAAAAGATTCTTTCCAGGGCTCCATTTATGTCTCTGTTCCTCAGGCTATAGATGAAGGGGTTCAGCATGGGAGTCACCACTGTGTACATCATGGCCATGACAGTCTCCTTCACAATAGAGTTATTAGCTGATGGACATAAGTAGATACCAATGACTGTCCCATAGAACAGTGACACCACAGACAGGTGGGAGCCACAGGTGGAGAAGGCTTTACTGATGCCTCGAGAAGAAGGGACCTTGAGAATGGAAGACACAATTCTTACATAAGACATGATAATGAGTGCAAATGGAAGGACAAGAAAGACACTAACCACAATAAATATCACCACCTCATTAACATGCGTGTCAGAACAGGCCAGCTTCAGCAGAGCAGACATGTCACAGAAAAAGTGGGGGATCACGTTGTCCTCACAGAAGGACAATCTGGCCATGAGCAGGGTGTGCAGCATAGCATGGAATGTGGTCAGAACCCAGGACAGCACCACCAGACTCCCACA